CCGTTGACCTTCCAACGTCCCATCCTCGGCATCCACAACCATTACGTCCGGTATCATCTTTGACGTTTTCGAGTGCCTCATCCAACGCAACTTTGGCTACGCCACCTACGACGTGCGCATGGCTTACCGCATCCTCAAGGACAAGCTGTACGACCCGCAGTATTCCAAGGTCATCTTCATCCTGCACTCGCAGGGCGGCATCGAAGGCGGGCTCGTGCTCGATTGGTTGCTGCAAGAGCTGCCCCAGGATCTGCTGTCCAAGATTGAGGTCTACACCTTTGGCAACGCCGCCAACCACTTCAACAACCCGCACCGGCACGTCTTTTCCCAGGCTCTCGCCCAGCAGGACCCAGCCGCCGCCGTGACCATGACGACGACCGAGACGACGCAACCGACGCCCGACGGCAGCCCCATCTCGCCGCTGACGAATGCCCCCTCCTTCGATCGCCGCTCCACAGCGTCTCGCCTAGGCGACATGGCAAACGGCAAGGCCAACACGAACGGCGAGTCCAAGACCAACGGCGAGCTGACCAACGGCGAGTCTAACATGAAAGACACGCCCATGACAAATGGTACGTCCAACGGCACGCCCAAGACAAACGGCAAGATCAACACGGGCGTCTCGTCGACGCCACGTTCGAGCGGCCCACCGAGCCTGCGTAAAGACGTCTCTTCCCTGACGTCAACGCGCACGTCGACCGCCGCACAGGATCGCGCCCTCGGCCACGTCGAACACTACGCGCACACGACCGACTTTGTGGCGCTCTGGGGTGTGCTGCATTTCTGCACCTCGCTCGCCGCGAACCGCACGATGCCCCGCTACATCGGCCGGCTGTTCGTCCGCGCGTCGGAGCGAGGCGGTCACCAGTTCTGCCAGCACTACCTCGACGGCATGTTTCCGCTCGAGAGAGACCCTGTGACGAACAAGCTGACGCGGTGCGCCGAGGAGAATGAGTTTATGGAGAGCGAAGTACAGGTCGGTGCCGAGGGCGCGGCGGGGCAGAACGCCCGAGAGGCCTTCGAGATTTCGTGGCTCGGTGACACGGGGTTCGGCAGCGGCGAGGTGGGAGAACAGGTCGAGGTGCACGGAGATCAGGTCGGCAGGCACCGGCGCAAGGGGGTCGTCAAGGTCAAGGATCTTTCGCGGCTGTGGATGTACCGCAACGGCATGTCACCGCCCGACGGGCCACCGCTGCTGATCCGCGAGAACGGCATCATTCGGAACGCGACGATGTAGGGGCGAAGAGGATACTCTTCGCACTTTTACAATGCCCAACATGCGACATTCAGCCGCAGCCTACACAGCCAGCCTACTCACCGCACCCTCCCCCTCCAGGTAAAGTGCTCCTTCGGCGCCTTTGCCAGCTCCCTCATGGCCGCTACGTCTGCAGCATGAGGTCCCTCCTCGCGCAACCCGCACTCCACCGCCAGCCGTGCATGCCTCACAGCAAGCCCCTGCTTCCCGAAAAGGCTGTAATTCAGCGCCGCCGTCGTGTACGCCCCCGCCATCTTGCCCTCAAGCCCTTCCTCCTTCATCAGGCCCAGGTACCGCTCAATATCCCCCATCGTCACCTTGGCCGCAACATCACCAAGCCTCGCCTCGAGCGCCTTGATCTCCGCAACCCTAGCATCACTCTCGTCACCACCAGCACACCGACGACACGCACACTCGAAGCCCCACGACCCCGTCATCCGCGCCCTCCTCTCGGCGCGCGGCGCCAGCGCGTCGACGTACGAGATGCTAATCTCCTCCCCGGCCGCAATGTCCTTCGAAGCGAACGCCCGGTGCACGAGGTCCGTCTTGCCCGTCCAGGCTGCGGCATTTGGCCCGCAGTCGTGGTTGAGCCGCGAAATGGCCGGAAACACGCCGAAATGGTGATGATGCCCGCCCGCCGCGTCGCCGCCGACGTCGACCTGGAAGGCGTTCGTCGCGACGATGCCTCGCACCGAGCCGCCCATCTGGCGCAGCAGGGCACGGCGCGCGGCCGCCGGCAGCAGGGCGGGGATCTGGTCGTAAAGGATGGCGGCGTCGGCGGGGGGCCGCTCGAAAAAGGCGCGGTGGACGAGGAGCACGGGCGGCGAGGCGATGAGCGGGGTGCCTGCGGGGATGGGCGATTGCGCGACAAGGCCGATGA